ATCTTCCATGAAAATTACAACGTCGTGATGCGATTCGTCCTGGCTACCGTACTTTGTATACGTACGAGCTTTTATTATCTTTGCGGTGCGCACCGAAACGGGGTAGAGCTTATCGTCATTAAGACCACCTGGCGCAGGAACCATAATGAATATTCCGCGGACACACAACGTGGAACAGTCGATGGACCTTGAGAAATCTCGCGGAATACGTTTGACAAATTAATTTCATCTGTTTGCATGATTCATCGATTGTTTTTACCATGCCGATTTGTGCCGATTTTTTCGCCTTTTTAAATCGGCAGTCGTACGTTGATGATGGCGTTCCTCGATGAATATGAGCTTTGAATATTAGATTTGAAATATCGTGCCTCGCGATGCGCATGAATTATCGCGAATCGTGGATAGCGAATGTGAATCTGAAATTTTCCTTCGCCATTTTATTGATCCGCAGCATGAGCAATGCTTCCTATTTTTCACTCCGTTCCTGGTACAGGGATTAATTAAATATCCTACGGCCCTGGTGCACGGTGTTGCAAATAATCGAAATTTTGTTACAGCGATAATATAAATTTTAAAAATATCTATTAATCGTGATTTATAAGGGATACTTAGATATTGTATTGCGCTAGGATTTAGTTACATAGTCTAGGTAAATTTGAGATAGGAAAATTAGAAAGGCCCCGAATAAAAATTAAAATAAGGAACAGTGTGATTTAACATCGAGAGTACAGAGTTACTCTTTGAAAGTAAGCAGTTCGCTGTCAAAGTCATATAAAATTCAATTTCCTGAACTCTGATCCCACGTATCATCCATCAGCTACGCCCCATCTTAACTTCATCTTAAACTCCCACAGAAGGCTTCATCTCTAGCCTTCAAGTCTAACACAATCACCTCGACACCTTATTACACTATCGTTAGACACACCTAATCTCTATAGACACTGACCTCCATCATCTCAATCCTAAACTTCTCCAACCGAAGTTCAAACACTGACACTGAAAACACTGATTTCTATCTCAATTCCAAACTCCTGCAACAAAAATTCAAACACTAATGTCCATCTCAACCTTCCCAAACTTGTCCAACAGAAGTTCAAACACTGACATTGGAAACACTGACCCCATCTCAACCTTTCCAAACTTCTCCAATAGAAGTTCAAACACTGACACTGGAAAAACTGACCACTATCTTAACCTCAAACTTCTCCAACAGAAGTTCAAACACTGGCACTGAAAACACTGACCTCCATCATTTGAACTCTAAACTTCCCCAACAGAAGTTCAAACACTGTTCCTCATCTGAACCCCAAACTTGTGCAGCAGAAGTTCAAACACTGAGCCCCATCTTAACCTCAAACTTCTCCAACAGAAGTTCAAACACTGACTCTCAGAACTGATCTTTCTCCAAATGCAACCAATGAAGAATCGCTAAGAGAATTAGAAAAGAAGAATAAAAATTTCCCCAACATCAGCCTGTCTTTCCGTCAACATCGTGCAACCCCGTGTGCACCTAACCTAACCTAACCTAACTTAATTTAACACTGACACTGAAAACACTGACCCTCATCTAAACCCCAAACTTCTCCAACTGAAGTTGAAACACTGATACTAAAAATACTGATCTTTCTTCAAATCTAGTGAATGAAGAATCACTAAGAGAATTAGAAAAAGGGTTAATAAAAATTTCCCCAACGTTGACCTGTCTTTCCGTCAACATCCTGCAACCCCGTGTGCACGTGCAGCTTCCACGAACCGCGATAATCATCGATGAACTCTAATTACCGTCGATAATTGGCGCGATTATCGGTGGCCGGGATCATCGTTCGGCGGATAAGAACGCGAGAGGAAAAAAGCGTAAAGAGTCGATCGATCAAAGATGCAATTAGCGGCGAGGCGCGCATCTGGTCCATCTGGATAATCTCCCATCCCGACTGCCACGTTTAATTGAGGCTAATTACGATGGTCGTCCGGCTGACGACTTTATTCGCCTGCCCGAGGATGCTCGTAATTTCGCGGGCCGCGTTTAAACGCGGGAAGAAGCGGTCGCTCCGGATGACCACCAGGGTGCGCTGCGAGTCGTGGCCGCCATTGGTACCGTTACCGATCGTTCCGTCGCCCGATACCCGTACGATTCTGTTAATCTTGGATAATTACACGGACAGACTCGCGTTGGGAATTATTCGTTCATGAGGAAACGTTGCGGGTTTGTTTGGCAGCAAACAGGGTACCGTTTGGCAGCAGATTGCTATTTGGTCTCGATAAGTCAGCGGTCTCGAGGAATTTGGGTGTGAAAGGATCGCGAGATTGCACGGTAGGATACCGTGGCTCGATTATGGCATGTGTTAGGGGAGCCGAGGTCTTTGGCAGAAGGTTATAGCTGCGGAATGGTTTTAATCTTCCTACCCTTTTTTGAGGTTAGCTTCGCGATGTTTGAGATGTAAATGGATTAAATATAGATACGAACTTGGACAGACACGATCCACTTTGCCAGTGGTAATGAACACGTTTCCGAGTCACGGTTATGGCCGCGAGCTTGCTTCCTGAATCATCGACGTAATTGAATCTCCTCGATGTACTATAGCAGTGTATATCAAACGCTTTATCGGCTGAAAACGTGGTCTTCTTGGGCAACCAGGGTAGGAACATGAGCTTTTAGCTGCCGTGATTGTGGGATCTGCGAATGCAGTAGGCTTTGACAGCTTTTAGCGACTGTCAAACATTTTCTCTTCTGTTTTTCTTCCTTTTTTAGAGTTTTTGGGTTTGTTTTAGAGGTTGATATCGGTAGTCGGGATTTTTATTTTTAACGGGGTTTAGAGGGCTATAAAATGGACGTAGGATTGAGGTAGAATCGAAGTAGGATCGTTATACTGCAGCGAAAATCGATTTGGAGAAATCAATATAAAATCGAGATAGAATGAGATATGGAATTGATGTGAAAACTGATATTTAATCAATATACAACTGTCATAAAATCGATAGAATCAATATGGGACTGATATGGGCCCGATATAGTATCGATATAGAATCAACATAGAACCGATATGGAAGTAACGAATGCGTATAAAATAAATATAGATTTCATACGAAACTGACATTATAGTGTAGGATTAACGCTAGATAAATCCTCTGTTGACAGAGATCTGCTCGTTTAATAAGCAACGACTCCTTTTAAATAATAAATAGATTTATTTAAACTGAAATATTACACTATCTTTCCCTGAATTTTTGGACTCTTAACTCTCAAACACACGATTTCCCACTCACTATGACTTGGCTGCACACATTCTGATATGACGCCACTGAGAAGGCAAGCGCCGGTCACTGATGACCGCCATAGCTGTCAACGTGTTAATATTATTTTCTTTCAGAGTCCTTCACTGCTTGCAGTACTACATTTATGATCTGTTGATTCTTGAAATACCGTTTCGGTGGTATTATTATTCCCATGGGGAAATACCATATTCCCAATCTCGTACTTCAGATAAAACACAATGGTATATTGACACTTGGCAGCATATATGCCAAGTACCAAGTATATTACCACAATACCACTTTGGAAATTAGCCAAAAATCGGGGACCAAATCTGACCAAAATTAAGGAAATATAATTCTTTCAGAAAATTTTGGCAGTTGTCAATATATCTCAGGTACACAAGATCATGATCTCCCTCTGTGAAACCTATTTATAAATTTGGTTTCCAAGACTCTGATGTCTAATTTATGTAAAACTATAATATATGAAAAGACCACTTATATATGGTGACAGTTTGGATAGAACGCGATGACACATTGACACTTGACAGCATATATGCCAAGCACCTGACGTATATTATCACAATGGTACTTTGGGAATTAACCAAAAATCGGGATCAAATCTGACCAGAATTGAGGAAAAATAGTTCTTCCAGAAAATTTTGGCAGTTGCCAATATATCTTAGATAGACCTTTGCTGCAAAGCCTATTTAAAAAATCGGTAGGGACGAAGGTCCCTAACTATTCTGTCCCTTTCTAGCCAATTTCCAAGACTCTGATGTATAATTTATCTAAAACTATATTATATAAAAAGACCACTTATATATGGTGACAGTTTGGATAGAACGCGATGACACATTGACACTTGACAGCATATATGCCAAGCACCTGACGTATATTATCACAATGGTACTTTGGGAATTAGCCAAAAATCGGGATCAAATCTGACCAAAATAATTGTTGCAGAAAATTTTGGCAGTTGCCAATATATCTTAGGTAGACCTGTGCAAAGCCTGTTCAAAGAGATGAGGGTCCCTAACTATTTTAGTCCTCTTCTAGCCAATTTCCAAGACTCTGATGTACAATTTATGTAAAACTATAATCTATGAAAAGACCACTTATATATGATGACAGTTTGGATAGAACGCGATGACACATTGACACTTGACAGCATATATGCCAAGCATCTGACGTATATTATCACAATGGTACTTTGGGAATTAGCCAAAAATCGGGATCAAATCTGACCAAAATAATTGTTGCAGAAAATTTTGGCAGTTGCCAATATATCTTAGGTAGACCTGTGCAAAGCCTGTTCAAAGGGATGAGGGTCCCTAACTATTTTAGTCCTCTTCTAGCCAATTTCCAAGACTCTGATGTACAATTTATGTAAAACTATAATCTATGAAAAGACCACTTATATATGATGACAGTTTGGATAGAACGCGATGACACATTGACACTTGACAGCATATATGCCAAGCATCTGACGTATATTATCACAATGGTACTTTGGGAATTAGCCAAAAATCGGGATCAAATCTGACCAAAATAATTGTTGCAGAAAATTTTGGCAGTTGCCAATATATCTTAGGTAGACCTGTGCAAAGCCTGTTCAAAGAGATGAGGGTCCCTAACTATTTTAGTCCTCTTCTAGCCAATTTCCAAGATTCCGATAATGTAATGTAATTTATATAAAACTGTAATGAATGAAAGGATCACTTACCCATGTTGACCGTTTGTTGCAGGATTCACGGGTACCCAGTGCGAGATCGACATCGACGAGTGTGCGGCGAAGCCGTGCCTAAACGGAGGTGTCTGCACCGACATGATCAACTCCTTCAAGTGCACGTGCGCGAACGGGTTCGCCGGTTCTCATTGCCAGATCAACATAGACGACTGCGCCTCGTCGCCCTGCAAGAACGGCGGCATCTGCCAGGACTCCATAGCCAAGTACACGTGCGACTGCCCGCCAGGATTCACCGGGGCCTCTTGCGAGACGAACATCAACGACTGCCAATCGAACCCGTGCCACAGCGGCAACTGCATCGACGGCGAGAACAGCTTCAGCTGCAACTGCTTTCCGGGATTCACCGGGAAACTATGCCAGACCCAGATCGACGAGTGCGAGAGCAACCCCTGCCAGTTTGGAGGAAGGTGCGAGGATCGTATTAACGGGTACCAATGTATTTGTAGACCTGGAACGTCTGGAACGAACTGCGAGGTGAACGTGAACGAATGTTATAGCAATCCATGTAGAAACGGAGCGAGGTGCATCGACGGGATCAACAGGTGAGTCTGCGGTTCGTTGGTTTGGGGGGTCGTCTGTCGAGGGTCGGAGACTTTCGATGGAAATCTTTCGCAATCTGTTCGTGTTAACGAGATCTGAATAGAGAATTGGAAATGGTCGATGCGACGTGTCGGAATTCGAACTCGTGCTGCTTCTTTTACACCGTGGTTCTATCGGCTGCCAATCTTGACGACCCGTTCGTCTCGATCGGGATGGTCTAACCGAAAGTCGCAGTAAGATGGAAGTCCTCGCAATTTGTTCTTGAAATTCCCACTTAGTTGCTTCACTCTCTAATAATAATATACAATCGCACCTGTGTGAAGGGATGACAATGATAGATTGAGAAGATTGCAAAAACGTTCCAATTCCAAATTCTCATCGTTAATAAACCAATTGAAAAACGAAACAATTCTGTATGAATCTGATCCGCAAGCTACTGAACTCTAACAAAAAGCTGAACACCATCAGAATCTGGCAAAATTGACCGTGGGCGACCGGTGTCCTCCGCTCAACTAATCCTACTGACAAACCCACCCCCGAGCGAAAAGACACGAGCAACCTCCACTCGCGTGAACAACACCCAATCTGGCAAAATCTAGCTTCGTTCTAACCATGTCGTTGCTTTCCATCCTCAGTGGACACGGTGTGTTTCCTTCCAGATACTCGTGCGAGTGCGAGCCAGGCTTCACCGGTCAACACTGCGAAACGGACATCAACGAGTGCGCCAGCAACCCCTGTGCCAACGGTGGCCGCTGCATAGACCTGATAAACAACTTCCGGTGCGACTGTCCTCGCGGCTACTACGATGCTAGATGCCTCAGCGACGTGGACGAGTGTGCCAGCAATCCTTGCGTGAACGGCGGCACCTGCGAGGACGGTGTCAACCAGTTTATCTGCCACTGTCTGCCAGGCTACGGAGGCAAGAGGTGTGAGGCTGACATCGACGAATGCGGCTCTAATCCCTGTCAACACGGTGGCACTTGCAACGACCATCTGAACGGGTACAGTTGCAACTGCCTGGCTGGCTATGCTGGTACCAATTGCGAGACCAACATCGACGACTGTGCCAACAACCCTTGTCAGAATGGTGGCTCCTGTATCGACCTCGTGAACGACTACAAATGCGTCTGCGAGCTTCCTCACACGGGGAGGAACTGCGAGGACAAACTGGATCCTTGTTCGCCTAACAAGTACGGATTTGGGTACTTTGCTTTGTTTTGGTCAAGTGGTTTTCTTGACGTTATGACGGTTCCTCTGGGTATTGATGCGTTCACTGTGTTATTGCAGATGTCTTCATGGCGCCAAGTGCTCACCATAGACTGTTTCTCTGGGTATTGATGCGTTCACTGTGTTATTGCAGATGTCTTCATGGCGCCAAGTGCTCACCATCCTCCAACTTCCTCGACTTCGCCTGCACTTGCACGGTCGGTTACACTGGCAGACTCTGCGACGAGGACGTCGACGAGTGTGTAATGACGTCTCCGTGCAGGAACGGCGCCACTTGCAGGAACACCAATGGTTCCTATCAGTGCCTCTGTGCGAAGGGCTACGAAGGTCGGGATTGTATCATTAACACCGACGACTGCGCTTCCTGTGAGTATACAACGTCGTTTGTTAGTTTGTTTGTAGTTTTGTACGCGTGATTAATTGGAATTTGTTATTTGCAGTCCCCTGTCAAAATGGTGGCACTTGCCTGGACGGTATCGGAGACTACACCTGCCTCTGCGTGGACGGCTTCAGTGGGAAACACTGCGAAATCGACGTGGACGAATGTTTGTCGCAACCTTGTCAAAATGGTGCTATCTGTAAGGAATACGTGAACTCGTACACTTGTCAGTGTCAGCTTGGATTCTCCGGGATAAATTGTCAGACCAACGACGAGGACTGCACTGACAGTAGCTGCATGAACGGTGGCAAATGCATCGATGGGATCAACAACTATACCTGTGTCTGTAAGCCTGGTTACACGGGCTCAAATTGTCAGTACCGTATCAACGAGTGCGACAGTTCACCCTGTCTGAATGGAGCTACTTGCCATGATCATGTACAATATTACACTTGTCATTGTCCTTATGGATATACTGGAACTAGGTGTGATCAGTATGTCGACTGGTGTGCGGATAATCCTTGCGAGAATGAAGCTACTTGTGTCCAGCACAAAAATAAGTACCACTGTAATTGCTCTCCTGGTTGGACTGGTAAAGTGTGCGACGTGGAGATGGTTTCCTGCAAGGATGCAGCTATTAGAAAAGGAGTACCCGAAAAGAATCTGTGTAACAATGGTACCTGCGAGGATATAGGTAACAGTCATCGTTGTCATTGCCTAGAGGGATACACTGGTTCCTATTGTCAAGAGGAAGTCAACGAGTGTGATTCTGCTCCCTGTCAGAATGGTGCTACTTGCAAGGATCTCGTTGGGTCTTACCAGTGTCAATGCACCAAAGGTTTCCAGGGGCAGAATTGTGAGCTCAATGTGGACGATTGTAGACCTAATCCTTGTCAAAACGGTGGCACGTGTCACGATCTTATCAGTAACTTTAGCTGCTCTTGTCCTCCGGGTACCCTGGGTTTCATATGCGAACTCAACGTGGACGATTGCGCTGTTGGCACTTGTCACAATAATGGAACATGTACTGACAAGGTTGGCGGATTCGAGTGCAAATGCCCTCCTGGTTTCGTGGGACCTAGATGCGAGGGTGACATCAACGAGTGCTTGTCGAATCCTTGTATGTCACCAGGGACTCAAGATTGCGTACAACATATCAACAACTACCAATGCAACTGCAAACCTGGCTACATGGGACGTCACTGTGAAATGAAAGTGAACTTCTGCGACAGCTCACCATGCGAGAATGGAGGTGTTTGTACTGCCAAACAAGCTGGACACACTTGCCTTTGCCCCAGTGGCTATTATGGAAACAACTGCGAATTCGCTGGTTCTTATTGCGACAGGGAACCTTGCTTACACGGTGGAACTTGCAGAGTAGCTGAAACAGAAGTTGGATATAGGTGTTACTGTCCTCCTGGAACCACTGGAACTCACTGTGAAATAGACGCTAAGGATGAATGTGCCAGTAATCCCTGTCAACAGTCCAATGCTGTTTGCAAGAACCTTCTGGGTGATTATGCTTGCGATTGCCCACCGAAATGGACTGGCAAAAACTGCGAAATCTATGATCCTAACTATGGAGGAGGTATATTTGGCAGTCCTAACTCGAACATTCCAAAAACCATGAATGCATACGATCTTGATTTAGAATTAGAGAGAAAGAAGTGTATTGAGAACAGATGTAAAGAAAAGTCTGGTAACCACCATTGCGATGAGGAATGTAACAGATACGCTTGCAATTTTGATGGAAACGATTGTTCCTTGGGTATCAATCCATGGCGTAATTGTACTGCTCCTATCAACTGTTGGGACGTTTTCATGAATGATGTCTGCGACGAAGTTTGCAACAATGCTCAATGCCTGTTTGATGGAAGAGACTGTGAAAGAAAATTAGCTCCATGCAAGTAAGTAATTGCGTCGTTAAAAGATCCTATAAGTTTCTGTTATATGTATAATGTTATTTAATCTGTATCTATCTTTACAGCCCCATCTACGATGCCTACTGTCGCAAACATTACGCCAATGGACACTGTGATTACGGATGTAACAACGAAGAATGTAACTGGGATGGTCTCGATTGTGATATAGAGCCACCATCGTTAGCAGAAGGTGTGATTTCGGTAGTAGTAAGGATGGACATGCAAACATTCCGCTCTAACGTGGTGGCATTCCTAAGAGACATTGGACACGAATTAAGAACCACCTTAAGAATAAAACAAGACGAACTCGGCAATGACATGATATATCCTTGGAAGAGAGAGCCAGGATTACCGACTATCTTTGGTCGGCCGACCACGATCTACACCAATACACAAAGCGGTGTTATGGCCTATTTAGAGATTGACAATAGAAAATGTACCGTTACCCAAGGAGCAGTATGTTTCCCATCAGCGAACGAAGCAGCGGAATATCTGGCAGCCACAGCGTCCAAACATTCCTTATCTCGAAACTTCCCAATCGAACTAGTTCGAGGTGTCATTGGGCCTCAGGGTCCAGAGTACCCAGATGCTCCAACAAATTACAAGTATGTCTTCATCGGTGTCGTCATCGTGGTACTTGGAGGAATGTTAGTCGGTGTCCTGGTCACTGCACAAAGAAAACGAGCTGTTGGTGTTACATGGTTCCCGGAAGGTTTCCTGCGCACTAGCAGTGGCAGTGGTCAACGTCGTAGATCAAGGAGACGTGGTCCAGATGGTCAGGAAATGAGAAACCTGAACAAGCAACCTTCGGTGAACTGTATGGATCTTGATGTAGGAAACGTAAGAACGCAACAATGGTCAGACGACGAGTCAGACTTACCACCTTCGAAGAGGATGAGAGCAATAGAACCTGGGTACGCCAGTGACCACACTGCTATCACAGATTATGAAGAAACAGAACCTCGAATGTGGACTCAGCAGCACTTGGACGCTGCAGAGATTCGTAGACCAGACGCTGGTGTTCTGACACCACCTAGCCTCGAACATGGTCAAGACGTAGACGCCAGAGGACCCTGTGGAATGACACCACTGATGGTAGCCGCTGTACGGGGTGGAGGATTGGATACCGGAGAAGAGGAGGACGAAAGTGACGGTACAGCTGCTGTGATCGCTGATCTAGTTGCACAGGGTGCAGACTTGAACGCCACCACAGACAAAAGTGGCGAGACATCGCTTCATCTGGCGGCTAGGTACGCCAGGGCTGATGCAGCGAAGAGGCTCCTGGACGCTGGAGCAGATGCTAATTCTCAAGACAATACTGGTAGAACGCCTCTTCATTCTGCTGTCGCTGCTGATGCAATGGGAGTCTTCCAAATATTATTAAGGAACAGAGCAACAAACCTGAATGCTCGTATGCACGATGGAACTACCCCATTGATCTTGGCTGCTCGTTTAGCCACCGAAGGCATGGTGGAGGATCTCATTAATGCAGACGCTGACATCAACGCGGCTGACAATAGTGGCAAAACAGCTCTTCACTGGGCTGCAGCTGTTAACAACGTCGATGCTGTGAATATACTTCTGGTTCACGGCGCGAACAGAGATGCTCAAGATGATAAAGACGAAACACCGTTGTTCCTTGCAGCCAGGGAAGGCAGTTTCGAAGCTTGCAAAGCGTTGCTTGATACATTCGCCAATAGGGAGATTACCGACCACATGGATCGATTACCAAGAGATGTGGCTAGCGAGAGATTACATCATGACATTGTGAGATTATTAGACGAGCATGTGCCCAGATCGCCACAGATGGTGAACGTGATACCAAACGGTCCTCTCATGGGTAAGTGCTTTCCCAGTTTAGATTTCAAATTGATTTATATTTGTACCTGTATACGATAAACACTCTTTGAGAAACTTGATGGTAATAAAATTTTCTATTGTAGGATCTCCAAATCACCCGCAACTCATCACACACCCCACGGTGATCGGTTCCGCACCGAAGCAAGCAAAGTCCAAGAAGCGGCCAAAAACAGGGACTACGGGGAATCCAAACAGCCCCGAGTCGGAGGGCGGAGTAGTGGTAGTAAGGCGAAAACCGTCAGTAAAGAAGCCACAGGCGAAACGTGGTGCTCAGCCCCCAAACCAGGAGATTCCTCAGGGAGCGGAGGGAGCAGAGGGAAATTTACCAAGTCCCCACGACAGTGCAAGCCTATACAGCAACGCGCTCCCATTGGTAGGCCACACGGCAACAGCGAAGCAACCACCACCGTACGAGGACTGCATAAAGGGGCAGTCCATGCAGGGTCTTCAGCAGTTGGGGTTAGACACGTTCACGACCAACTACGGACTGCTTAATTTTCACGACCAACTAATAGCATCGCACCAACGACAAGCGCAAGGGATGGTGAACACGTTGTCGCCGCCTTATAGCAATCAGTCACCGCCACACTCGGTGCAGTCAAACATGACTCTGTCTCCACAGGCGAGCTACATGGGCTCGCCGTCTCCGGCAAAAAGCAGGCCGTCGTTGCCCACTTCGCCTACCCACATTGCCGCCATGAGACAAGCGACGCATCAAAAGCATGGCGGTATGCCACCGGTGGGATTTGACTTTGAGAATCTTCCTTACTCGTCGAGTCAGCAGCAACAGCAACAGCAGCAACAGCAGATGCAACAGACACAGCAGCAGATCCAGCAGCAGCAGCAGCAGCAACAGCAGAGTACGCAGCAACAGCAGCAACAGCAACAGCAGCAGCAGGCTCAACAGCAGACGCAACAGTACTATCAGTACTTGACGCCACCTTCTCATCATTCCGGACCGGATGTAACGCCACAGCATCTGATGCAAGCGCCAGAAAGCTTCCCAACACCATCCCCGGACAGTCCAGGCCACTGGTCCTCCAGTTCGCCACACTCAAACAGCGACTGGTCCGAGTGCATGGCGTCACCGAACGCGTATGGCGCCGGAGCCGCTCATCAAAGTAACAAGGGCTCCGAGGCGATCTACATATGAAGGCGGCGGTGCTCTCTAGCTCGCGCGAGTAAGTCGTAAGCCGTGAACCACGGCACATACGTGAACTGTGATTAGCTCGTCGAGTTCGAGGGCGATTCTCGCCGATAATTTGTTAAGTGGTACCTCCATTGGGGGTCCGTGTGACGAACGCTCTCTCGTAAGGTCAATTGTGTAGCGAGATTGTGGATCGTTTTACGCTCTGCAGCGGAGGGCGTCAGCGAATGCGTACACCACTACTACTACAGCTCTATATATATATAAATATTTATGAATATAAATATAGATGAATAATTATATATGTATATGTATGCGAAGGAATACCCTTGTTCTTTCGAACAAGAACCCATATACAGACACACACCGTTTATGTAGTTCGTTCAACGATTGTGCCTTTTCTTAAAGAATTTAACAATGATCTAGAAATAACGATGCGTGATCGTACTCAGCAACCTGCTCGTGCATCTTGGCTCAACGAACAATGGTGCCTTCGACTTGCCACAGTGTGAAGACCCGATAGACACTATTCTTCTACTTTTTTCTTTTTTTTTTTTTCTTAAATAAGAATAAGGAACGAAACCTTGCTATCTACAATAGTATTGTACATAGGACAATGTAGAACACGGAGAGTCGTTCACACTGTCACGAGTGTGTTCGAACGGGGACCACATAGAGTGTAATATGTAATATTCTATTTAAATATGTCACGCACAATACTTTCTGTGAACGAAAGAGGGAGGATCGTATTATTGGCGACACGTGTCCATAAGCTTCGATCGTCTCGCGAGGCACTGTTCGACACCTGTAACACGCGATGCGTTTCGTAGAAGCAAAAGGGGAGCCGAAAGAAGAAACTCGCGCGTCAGACAGAAAGTTGAGAATCGTGCCTTCGAATAAGCGTAGGATATAAGAAGTTCTTGCGTAGATAAATCTATTAAATTATGTATCTTGATGAAACGCAGCGTTTCCAAATGGCCTTTAACACCGATTTATTACCGACTAGCACGAGGCATAATATTATATGTAAGATACAAAGGCAACTTTTGTACGGTCGACGGGAGCCTCAGAGAAATCGTCTTCACCCCGCGAACGGATCGTTCCATACGCAGACATTCCATTCGATCGACGCTATTTTTCCATTCTCTTTTTGTTTTTCCCTGTCTCTTTAATTATCTTGTACTCTTCCTGTCGATTCCTCAGCCACGGGGAATATCCGCGGATCGCTAGGATCTCGAATTTAAATGTCTCATTCGAGTCGAGGAATGTTAACCTAATTCGCGGGTACGCCTTGTATTTGCTGTCTGTAGAATCGTTTTTATTATTAACGAGCTAGCGTAATCGTTAACGTTTAATTACTTTGTAAAAGCGTACGCGTAAATAGATGGCTGAATTAAATTAAATTAAGCATGCTCGGGCGGTAAGACGATTCGCTGATCTCTCATCTGCCAAAGCCAAAACGAGAGAGTTTTCTTCTAGATGAAAAATAATAATGCGTGATCGGCAGCGTGACCGGATTTGGTGGTATGTACGCATAATAGGCTTAGGTATTAATCGTAGATTGTTACGAGAGAAAAGAAGCAATTATCATCGATACGTCGAGAAAGATGAAGCTCGTGCACGCTTCTGCAATACGTCCATCAATGATGCGAATTTATAAAGACACAATAATCATGTTTTTTTGTTCCGGATACTATTATCCTGATCGCTTTTTTTTTTTTGAAAAAGGAAATTTGTAAATATTCTTATACATTTTTTCTATCCATGCTACTCTTCACCATTCTGTCCGTTCATCTAACGTACCATCGAGTACTTTTCATGTAATTCTCTTTTCTCTCGATTTTGTACAAAACTGTTTTTACATACTTTTTTTTTTTATATTATGTAAGCTAGGTTAATAATAGTTTTATAAGGCGATTTCCAGCATACAGTAATAACGTTTCCTTTTTATCGTATTACATTATAAATCATAGAACAGAGAGGAAAATATAAATATATATACATAAATATATATATATATTTTTTCTGCGCAAAGTGTGTAATTGACTGTTGCATAGAGGATCGACGCGCTCATGCTCCTTGATGCAATTCTGAATTACATGTAGTGGTGTGATGGAGCTTTCCGAGATATTGGAACACATGGGTCCAACGCAATTTCTATGATGTATTTTCGCGAACCTATAATGCTCCTAAGGAGAAACATTTTTTATTTATATATAAAAAATATATATATGTATACATAGAATCTTTGTAACGAATTAAGTGTATCTTCACACGACTGCCTTTGTATTTGTTAAAGCCACGAAAAGTCTGCCAAATAGCGAACGACGAAAATATCAAGAGATATGTTAATATTTTTTTTATAATAGTATATTGTAAAAGATCCGATGCGGCTCAGACAATAACGTGCGATAGAATTTTTGTAGTCGATGAATATTGTTGCGTAAACGAATTGATATTTTCTGTCAGTATGATCTGTCGAACATCGAAACTGTGTAATAGGTAAATACGTAATGAGATTGTACGTAAATCGGAGATTGTTAAACGAGTGTAATTAAAGAAAGCATTGTCAATGTGTTCAAAATTAGGTAACATCAGCTCTGCGACGCACCGATTTTTCACTGTGTTAAAGAAAAAAAAAAATAAGAAAATGCGAAAAAGACGATAGATAAGTTACACGCTCTAATTTACAGTTATCTATGATAAGTTAGAGAAACTCCCAATTATTATGATAGATCTTGTTATTTCTTGTAACTTGTAAAAAGTACTGAGTTTTATTAGTATTAACTATTCCATAAACTAAGGATTTGTTCAATCCTATTATATCCTGCCTTCCTTGTCCCCACATTGTCCTTTTACTTCCGGTACCCCGATCCTCATATTTTTTATAAATAAGTTATGTCTTTTAAACAGATGTAATAATAAAGATAATCTAACATTCACAATAGGGTTGTTGTTCTGTTCTATTGTGCTATGCTTCCGCGTTTTATTCCTTAATAATGTAAGCATAGATACTTTTTTTTAGTATATTACAATAGATTTTACACAACAATCAAATTGTATTATAGCAATAAAAAATAAAAAAACCTGAAAATTTCCCGAACATACTTCGTTGGTTCTTTCTTTCTACGTCTTTTATTATTTATAATTAACATCCATTTTATTCTCACTAGTGATTTACGTTAAATGTATAAATTTATTTAAAAAATTATTCAGCTAAGATAAACACGAATTATATTATCACTAATCATATAACATTTTATAGGTTAGCATTGGTTTGATCTAAAATACAATGACGTTGAACTAGGTACGCAATAGTATTAAAAACTTAGTAATATCGAAAAAAACAAATTAAATTAATGAATTTGAATTTACGAGTATCATAAATATGTATAAAATACGAATTCATAAGTACTTACATGTAGCGGAGTGAAATTGCGTTGTAACTAGCCCAGTTTTAAAAATTGGCGCCTCGTTTCTCGAAGTAAAGTACAATCGAATAACATCGAATCGAATCAACAGAGCTAACAAATTTTAAATGGTAGTAGTTTGAGCGTGTAACTCGTTCGATGAAAACATAACGAATCGCAGTAACAAAGTGGTCGAAAATAGTATAAATAATTTTCTCAATGCTGACTGTGAAGATTTATTTATATAAACGAAGGAGATGGAAGGTTGTGTAAATGAGACGTAACATTTCGTTTCGATCAGTTGTCAGGAAAATAAAGTAAACAAATAATACATCGTATAATACAAATTACCCTTGATTGTTAAGAATTACGCAAGACACGCAAATAACAAAGGACTCTAAACATGATAATCGTAAAGTAAATCTTGTAAATATGAGTATCATAGTAAGACAATGTTTTTATATGAAAACAAAATAAAAGCATTGAACTCAATGACATCTAACAAAAATACCTAGAGAAATGGAAAACAGGCCACTTCGTAGTTTCTCATTCCTAGCATTTTCCACGAATCTTGAAACGAAGATGTTAAGGATTATTTACGTAAGCGAATTCGGCACTCTTAGAGCTCATTTAACGTCGAGCTATCGAAGAGGAAGGATATTGTAACGGGTATGCATTAATGTTTTATTTACTCGTCCTATAAATTCATTCGTTTCTGACTATTAACGAAATTTGTATTATCGATAAATCGTCGCATTCTTTTAAATGACACAATCACGAATATTAGTGAAAAATTGCGATTTAATTTATAATAAATATATCAATACATGGTATTGTTTGTATCGACAGAATAATTATAATCCTACTGCGTAATATATTTTTAAATCGAAAAATTTTAAATTTATAACAAATTTATTATATAATGCTTTGTTTATTTTTCTTTTTTAAGTAATGTAATAATTAAATTGTTATCGATCGTTCAACGAATTGTATAATTGAAATAAATATATTTTCTATCGGATTCGTATGAAAAAATAAATTTTTAATTCAATAAATTATTATTGAAATTACATTTGTCAATAACCAGGTATATTTTTCAGAGCACTTTCTGCAAGCAGTATATCAACCAATTGTTCAATGAAATTAACATAATGTTAAAAAATAATTAAATGTTTATAACCAGTAATAAAATAATAATTCAAGAAAGGTAAAAAATTTTTATTTTATGCATTGATTAAGATATAAATTAATATGAGACTTAATTTTATTATAAAAAATATAGCCATATTTAATTCGAATTGTAATTAACATTATCAATAGTATAAATGTTTAAATATTAATATAGATATTTTGCATGAGGTTGTTGATAAACTTAAAATTGTTAAAAATGTTAAACTCCTTAGAATATGGATCATCTATGAAAATATTCCGATATTTCGCAGCACTGCAGCTAATTGAAGATCACTATGAAGATTAGTATATTACTCTCGGATCCCAAGAACATATTAACTAGTGCATACATTAACGTATCCTCGAATCCGAAGAATATATTAATCAGGGCACAACTTGATACATCCTTAGAACCTGAGGATGTAT